ACCAAAGAACCCGATTAAAAATGAAGGGATTCGATCTGCGCTGGGATTTTTCCAAAATGGCACTCTAACTAGGCGAGATGTTCAGGAGCCAGAGCCTCTTAGGCTTAGGAGGTCGTCAATGAAGCTCAGCCGAACTTCCTTAAGAGAAAGAGGAAATCACCGCTTGGTTGTTTACCAACGGAAAGCATGGGAAAAAGACCAAAGATATCATACGCTCTCTTCGGAGAGCGGCATACCGAAAAAAGAAAAGGGTTATCGGATTGGAAGCGATGACTTAAGCCCCTTAGGGCCGAGCGTGAAAGATGAGAAAAAATTACCCCTTCTTTGGCCATGGCCTTCCCTTCCTTTGACCAAGGGGCCCTCGAACCACCCTCGCCTATGAAATGGATAACCCGTCCTGCCATAGCAGCAGGATTTTCAGGGCTTCTGTTATTATCTCATTAGATGGGCCCTTTTCCATTAATATGAAATAGGCGTTGGCGAGAATGTCGATATCGGTCAAATCCGGACTGATCGTCCTTGAAATGACAGTCCTCGCAAGCTCCACCCAGGAGTGCCCCCTGGAAGTGATTCAATGCCTTGCTGGTCAAAAAATCGAAATTAGAGGATACTCGAAATTTCGTCGATATATCGATCGGCATTCCAGGAGTAGACATTCTCATTTGGAAGATGAATGCCCAGTTCTTCGCCATATTCCCTGACGCGACGGGGAACGGGCCCCTGAGCCTGCTAACTCAACTCTTCTTTCTTAGCAATGATCTGTTATCAATGAATTTCTTCCTTACCGGAATTCGGAGATAGGACTTTTCCGGGTATTTGACTTCAGCTTAGCTGCTTAGCGAATGCCCTTGTGATGAATGAAGTATCCTCCCTTCTACTTCCCCTTGTCGCTTCCATTGGGATTCGTTCACAGCGATAGATCACACCGGCAACAAGAGCCTCTTTATAGTCCTACTCCTCTTCCAAAAAGACTAGCTGCCCTTCTTCCTTCTACGCCGTCCATTATTTGTTTCACTGACTCAGGCATTTTCTCAGGAGCCGAATCTGAGCTGAGAGATGCTAGGCTAGGTCTCGTCTAAGCCCTTGTCCCTCTAGAGAAAAATGTAAAACGGTGCTAAAGCAGGACCCGTGACTATGAAAATGACTGCTCAATCGAAACTTGAGTCACCTTGGAGTAAGTCAAGCCACATACTCAACAACGTCTCTGTCTGAACTGTGAAATCCCTAAATCGAAACACACTAGAATAACTTCAAACACTGGATCTGCAGATCTACGTGTATTCCAAAAATCTGGTGAGATTTTTTGTGCATTCGGATTTCGGTCACCCGAAAAGAGGTCTAGTCCTGTCTGCTGAACGGTCCCGGAAAGGATGAGAAAAAGCTCTTCCGAATCCAGGTTCAAACTTTCAAGCAGTCAATCAAGCAGCACTGACCATTATTCCATAGATAGCATAGAGCTCTTACAATAGGCTAGCTTAACTATAAAGGCTGGATTTCCCCCTGGGAGAAGTGGAATCGAAATCTCTGTCACTCAAAGCTTCGCCCCTTGAATCTATTTATTCCGGCTACAGAGCAAGGCAAGGTATATGCCAGTTTGCTTAAGACTTGGAGTTCGAAGTGGAATGGATCTAATTCGATGAATTAGCCTCCTAAGGCAATTGCCCACTAATCCTCATCGCTGTCCTGAGCCTTATTTTCACACTTATTATAGAATCCCGATCTGGGAAGAAAAGCTATTCTTCTTAGCAGTTGAAGAAGTGAATTGAATCACCCTCGGGTCCGAGAATACTAAGCAGACTTTAACTCCTCCCTTATAGTAGCAATTCTGACAACAGATGCGGATTTGGGCAGTGCCCACTCCTCTAATGTAGCACAGATGGTACATTAAACAACCTTCGGCGGCACCTCCCCTTAATAATAAGAACCATTTTCATCATGACAGCACAATACTCATCATCCATTAGGAAAGATCTTCGAATTAGACTACTAAGTTCTTCTTTGGTGAAGGCGAAAGCCCCTACCCTAGGAGGATAGCCATGTTCATATACAGTTCTCTCTGAGACAAGAGCAGAACATAATCTTGCCTTTATTATTGATCTTGATATACATATTGGCAGCTCAGTTATAGATAGGGGGAACTCTTTCTAAAGTAAAAAGATTCACGGGAATAGAAGGAATGAAGGACAGCTACTCCTCTATGCTTACTACGAGCTATACCACGAGTCAAGCTAACTGCAATAATGAAAGTTGCAGTGGATAAGAGAAGACCGGAGCTTGCCATTCGTGCAGCGCTTATTTAAACACTAGCTGAAAGACATTCTAAAATCACTCTCTCTCCCATGACCCATAGCCAACTAGGAGAAGAAAGCCAGTTTATTCCCTTGAGGCTTGAGCCAGGTATTCGTTTAAAGCCTTTCGCTAGCATTACAACAGAATCAATGGCATCAGATTCATTAGCTGCGGACGCATAGGAATGAATTCTTCCCGTACTCTCTTTGTCAAGCCACCGGCTCCACTAAAGCAGCAAGACTTAGACTTAGCTTAGCCTAGCTAGCACAGACAGAAGGGAAAGCGAACCCGACTGATGAAGTCGAATGCTCCCACCCGATTCTTCTTGGCTTGACCACTCTCTTAAGCTTTCCCCCATCGAGAAAGAAAAATCCTATGTGAATCCTTACCTCTCACCTCTCCTCTCTACTCATAGCAGACAATCATAGACTTTCAATCGAGTGAATACCCGGCTAGCTCGGATCTAGGTCTATTGTAAAGCTTTCGCTTCGCCCCTTAGTCCAGAGCGATCGCGGGACACGGAATAAGCCTACACATCGGTTTCTCCGAGGCGCATGCAGCTTTCATATCTGCACTCCATAATCTCGTAGAGTAAGATGTCCGGTTTACTCCCTATGATCCCGAGACCCGGCTCACCAAGGAGTTTTTTGGGATAGCGGTTGGATCTCAAGATCCTGGCGGATCGACAGATCGCGACCCGAGCTCACCGCTGGAGCCGAGTTATGAGCCCTGACACAACGGCTCTCGAATTAACAGCGCGGTTACATAGAATGAAGTCGACCGGCTCCCGGCTCGCCATTCGTCCTATCAGAAAGGGGCCGAGGCACGCCAGAGCGATCCCCCGGCCTCAGTCACGGAACGAGTAACTTCGTAACCGTGTAACACAGAGGAATCGAACCCTTATTCTTTCAGCGTAGCGGTAAACAAACACCGCGTGCGTGCCATCTCCCGTACCGGAAAGCCGTGCTTTGCGGCGCAGCTGAGCAGGCGGAGCAGGCATTCCCGAACGTGCTTCATCTACGATGTATTCACCTTCTGCTCTATCGACACATCGAAGTAAGATGTCATCGAAGGATTTTCGGCAAAGAATTCCTCCCCTGGTTTTTTGAAAAATATCAAGTCTTGGTGGACCATAAGCGGGTAGCGAACCCCGGTTAGCTGTCGATGTGTGGCTAGTTCTGTTGAGCTTTGCTCCGCTTCTTAGCCCAGGTACAGTCTCTGACGATCTCATTCTCTCAGCGATCTATGCCACGTCGACCCCCTCTCTTAGACATGGCTTCGCGGAATGTGCTTTCGTCCTGTCTCCCAAGGGAAAGGGATATTCCGCACATGCTTTAGTTGAGCTGTGAGAAGGGTAGATTCTTCTTTTCTTGTTGGGGTGGAGTAGAGGTCATTCGGATCCTCACACCAGTAGGAAACTTTGTTTTTTGAGTACATTGAGATGGGGAGCTGTCTAAGAGGGGCCCTCTCTTTAGCCTATCTGTACTAATGCTAGCCAATCTCTTGCAATTGGTCTATGGCAAAGGGTCATATTCAAGATGTGAACAAATCGGATGTGCACATTCATGCAAGATCCGGTGCTCTCTTTGCACCTTCGGCTTCTTCCCCAGCTGCGGACCCGGAAATCACAGAATTCCTCAGACCTTCTCCCTTCTGCTTTCCTTCTTTCTGTTTTTGATTGAGTTTCGGGTTCTTTCTACGGATTCAAACCAGTTTTCTTTACGGATATGTAACCACTCTATGTATAATAAATTGCTTACATATAGAAAGAAAGGCATTAACCAGAGAACACTTTTGAGAAAGATAGCTAAAAAGGACTGGTTCTCGAGCTTCCTTAACCCACTACCGAATAGTTCGTTCAGAAAGCAAGGCCTCTCCTCTAGATCGCATTTAATTGGCTTTTCGGAAGCATGCAAAAGACCTCAAGTCTTCGCCTTTCCGCTTCAAGAAATGAGATTCCGACCAAAGCCCGAGGTAGAGCGTCGGTCGTCAGGGCAGCCTGCCTTCCTTTACTATATTTCGTACGTTTCGGATATAGCACGTCCCCCCTTTTTTTACTATATGAAATCCACACTTTGACACCTGAGATTCCGTAACGAGTAGATACTTCCGCAGGAGCATAATCTCTTTTCTGGTGAAATACATTACAAGATGTTTTTCCATACTTTCCGCATTCAGTTTGCGCTATTTCTGCGCCTTTTAATCGACCTGAACAACATATACGGATCCCCTCTACCCCTTTATTCATTAATAATGAAATATCCTTCACTATTTGACTAAAAATGGAACGAAATTCGATTCTTTTGTTCCTCAGTTGAAAAGAGATGTCTTGAGCAATCAGAGAAGCACTTTGATAAACAGATTGAATCTTGACCGACTCAATTAAGGTATTAGTCTTTGTTCTATTAGACAACAAAGATCGCATTTTTTTCATTTCGTTCAAATAAGAGTTGTACCTGTACGGAATTCTTCTGTTTCTCAGTATGATTTCTATCATCATCTCTATTCCCTTTATCAATTCTCCTATCCCACCTAGGTTTATGAATTTATCTCTCAATTCCATTACCTTATCCTTACCCAAGAGGAAAAAACATTTTATCCTTAATTGACCTAGGAGTTGTTCCCGGGCATCCTTAAAAAAAAGGTTATTATACACCCCATCCCTTAGAAAGAAAAAGGTAGCACCGAAGAAAGGAAAGAGCGAGATGGTGGTTTTTGTTGTTCCCGCGAAGCGAAGATCATTCGCTTGGCGAATGAAGTGAGTCAACCTCTTTTTGGCTTCGGCCAAACACTTTTTCTCGCTGGTCAAGCTTTCTACAAAAAAGGCGATGCGAGAACGTATTCTCTTATCTAAGCTTCTTCCCTGTGCATTCGCTCCCCCCATCGTAAATGGTTCAGCCACGCCCGGTGACACGAAATGATTGAGAACTACGACGGGGTCGAAATGAATTTGGTTCTTTGTATTCAAAAAATATTGCATGACCAAATAATTCAAGGAGAGGCGCACTGCGGGGAGGGTCCTTTTACTTTTAAGTAGATGACTCGTCGGGCCGTCGGAGCGGGACTTCTTTGGGAAAAAGAAATGGAATAACTTCGTTTTTCTGAAGGAGTCGTCATTTTCTATCAGGAAGGATATGTCATTTACAACTCCCCGGCTGCCTTTCTGACAGTTTTAAGGCCCTACTTGACTTAAGTAATTTAGAAAGATTCTTCTTTTCTCGAATTTTGCGTGATCTGGTCATGGTATCCATAGCCTTCCTTCTTTTTCGGCCAAATCCTTCTTTCGTTTTCCTTCTCCCGGTCGTCGAGCCTGATCGACTCGACTCTTTTCCCTGCCCCCCGGCCTCTCACTTTGTTTCGTTCTTCTTCTGTATTGTCGCTTGAATGAAGACACCTGATCGGCCCCACTTTCCCGAATGGCCACCACCGGCCCTTCTCCTTTCCGGGTCTGGTTTTTTTGCGTTGGGGAAGAAAAAATGAATGAATGTTCTTTTGGAAAAATGTAGAATAATACACCTACCGAGACTCACCTTTGGCTTTCGTCTCGTAGGTGGACGTATCGAACCGAAATAAGATCTCAGATTGACATTTTGATACACTAATTTACCATAATAATAAATAGAGTCAATGGTGACTCCGCCGTGGAAAGAGCCGCTTCTTTCTTGCTTGATAGGGGGGCTTCCATTCACCAGCGCAGACTAAAAAAAAGTGCTCTCCGAACCGTGCTGGATAGTCACCTATCACACGGCTCTCACTCAAACCCAACCTGTGGTGGATCCCGGGGGACAAAGTCAAAGCGCTTGATCCTTCCTTTGCCCCATACTATACTTGGAGATGCTCCTCACCGCCGATCAAGCAGCGACGCTGCTCTAGGCTTAGCTTTAAGCCGCTATCGTTCGGTTTGGATAAGTCAAGTCCCTTCGGTCGGTTCGCTCAGGTGGTCTTCCCTTATCTTCCCTAACGTTCAGAGTTGTTCTGGTTTGAGAAAGGAGCACCGGCCGAGCACCCTGAATGAATAAGAAATGGACAGCAGAGGGTGCCGCAGGCATGATTCTTATTCAACCGAGTTGAAGCTAGCAAGATGTCGATTACACACCGGAGGTTGGTAAGAACTGAGGGACAATGCCCCCTAACCTAAGTGGGCCTACCAGCGAAGCAACTGGTACTTGATCGGGCGGGGGCGGTTTGGTTTCGTGCAACGCCTCGCGAGGAAGAGGCGCACTTTGATGGTTTGAATTGGAACTTCTATCGCCCATACCAAGAGCTAAGCAAGCCAAGAGGAGGACCGGACCAAGCAAGCCCACTCGTGGCAAGAGCATTGACAGTAATCGCTTAGTTCTTTCTATTAGAGGCGAGAGCATCTTACTCTCTTTCTTTCTACTGATTGATCGAAAGGTAGGGCCTAGATGAATTGCGACTTAGGGCTTCCATTAGGAGATTGCATACCTTTGGGATTATGAAAGGCAAGTCTTCTATTCAAGGCAGGAGCTCTACTTAAGATCCCGGTCGACTAAGTAAATTCCCAAATGCACTGACTTCTTCTACCAAATGAGCTTCTTGCCCGTCACTTTGATTCAAAGTCGATAGCCGAAGTCGTTGCTTGACGCTGCCAGATCGATCCTTCCTTGAATGGAAACAGGTACCTGAGCACGGGACGGGCCTTTAACTGGTGACCGATCAGTCAATTCTTTCTATGTCTAGGAGCTTATCATGAAATGCAGTTTCCATGAAAGGTAAAAGCAAGGCCAAAGGGGAGAACTTGAAGAGAAGTTCGACCATGACATAAGAAGAGGGACAAGAAGTCCACCTGTAAGAGAAGACTTGGCTGCTAAGTCGAGGAAGACAGAACAGAGGAAAGGATATTGTGCGGCTCTATCTTTCTACTTCTATTCAAGGCAAGTGTTCAGGGACTTAGGGCTCAGATAAGAGACCCAGGGATCAAAGACGAGATCTATCCTAAAGAGAAAGAAGAAGAAAAGAGGACTCTCGAAGCCAAGTAGTAAGATCCCGGCCGAACTAGTAGAAGAAAGAAGGACTTGCCTCAACATGAAAGACTTAGGCGCCTTCGGAAAGATTTTTCTTACAATAAATCGGAAAAAGATTCAGTAAGGTTAGGATATCTATGAACTACAAAAAAACTACCTCATTACGGGGTGAAGATTGAATCAAAGAAATTTCTGTCTTTATTTTTACAAGTAAAATGAAACGAATTAAGGAAGAAAGCATTTCTTCTGTGCTTGGACTTATTGGGAGTAGGAGCAGGAGAGCTAGAAGACCTTTTTCCTTTCTTTACACCAGCAAATTTGGCTATAAAATGCTCTTTAGCTGCATTCAAGTTAGGGGTAAGATCAAGACTCCAATAGCCAGCCCACCAAGTTTCGAATACAGAAAGAGCATAGGGTTTGCTGAGAATCCGTTGCTATTGGACTTGGCAAGTCATAAGCCCAGAAGGAAGAAGTCGTAGCTGCTACCTTACCTTTTAGTCTGCTCGAAAGGAAAGCCAGTAACTCGAGAGTAGAAAGAAATAGAATAGAGTCTGGTATGACAGAAACATTAGCTTTGAGCTTGAACGTCTTTCAGCCACACAACCCAGCTGCTATTGAATCAGCGTAAGGAGATGTCGATGAGGGTACAATAGAGAAAAGAATGAGCTTTGGTTCAGAGCTTGATGCAGAATCAATGCACTAACTCTGTCCTTCGCTATCGGTCAAGCTCCTTCTACCTCAAGATCGGTAAACCGAACCATACTTCTTCAGTCACTTGGTCTGGGATTGATTCCACTAGCCTGAGTCTGGCATTGACTCCTAAATTCTTTGATTTAAGCGGTTGATGCGGGAGCTTGAGATGAAAGAAGAGTTCCCACCTACGGCTACATGCCTATTAAGAGCTATACCATGAGTCGATCTAACTGCATAGGAAGAGGTTTGCTTTATGTTGATTGATCCCGTTTACAATCGAATCCTATTCTCAACCTCGAGTCAGGAAGAAGAAGTCCAGGCGAGAAGAAAGACCAGGCGGGAAATGCTTTATTTGACTAACAGAGATTTAGTCGTCCAACCCGGCCTCGAAATGTAGACTAGACCTGGACACCACGTAACGATCGGTTCGTTCTTTGCGGGCCGAACCAAATCCCTTTTATTTGGAGTGTCTGAAGTTTGGATATTAGGTTGGTGATTCGATTCCGAGTTACCCTATTTATTTTGATCGAACATTCCCATAACGATAGGAAAGCGCATGTTTTCTCGTTGGAGTAGGAAGAGATAGGGCATCCAGCAAAGAACCTCGCCAGAATGCTTTTACATAAATCAAACGAGAGAATGAAATTTAAAAAGCAAAATTTGAGGAAATTCAGAATAGTAGGGGATGGTGGAAAGGTTAGTCTTTCGCAGTCAGAAAGGCATTTTAAGCCCTTGACCCGGATCAAGGGGCCCACTTCAGGAGCCTTGCCCATTTTCCAATTTTTCATCGCGCCAGCTGATCCATTAATTCGGCGAGAGAAGGAGCGGAAGTTTGCCACGAAGAGTTTGCAATTCCGTCGAGGTCATCCAAGCTTTGCAAGGAGGTAGGACTCTTTTATGCTTTCGATCTCCTGTAAAGTTAGGCTCGACTGGAGCTTCTGGAAGCAGCTGTAGAGTGTTGGGATCCTGATCTCAATCTTTTTTAATTTAATTGGCATAAGCTCGCACCCTCTTTGGAAGAAGTGTATCGTCTTTCTGGTCTTCTTCATATAGGTGAACTTGGTATCGTCGTGCCTCGTTCTGGCTACACTTCTCTGCTTCGTGATTCGCTGGGCCTACGCCAGGATGAGCTCAAGCTTGGTTATGCAGGAGGGGATCCGACTCGCTTATTTACCAAGATTTTTAATTGACAGGTTCTCACATGACCGCGCTTCAGTTTCGACTCCAAGATTTACCCACTGCGTTTGCTTGCGGAAATCTTTATTGGTGTCGATATCAGAGCCATTGACCTGGTTGTGACGGGAATCTTTAGCTGTCTGCGCTCAAAGGATAAAACCACAATTGTACCTTTGATCCTAGCTGAGATGTATAAAGGGCTCTCTGATTGTGCTCGTGGGATAACCAATATTCTATTCTTCATGGACCATGTGCCATCTTGCAATTGTGGCTGCTATGTCATTTGAAGATAATTGCCCCTATATGACGTGGTGGCACAACTAAAGAAGATCCCTCCTATCTTGATCAAAAGTGCTCATGATCTCGAAGGCCTGGCAACCAGAGAGCATTTGGAGAAAGCCCTTTCTCAAGCAGCCATAGAATGTGGAGAAGAGGAGGCATTCTTTTCCCAGCATTTGGTGCCTAAAGGAGATATACCAAGGACAGTGCTGCTAAAGCCCGGGGTGATCTCATTCTCTGCGCATGATGCGCTATTACAAGGGCTGAAACATAGCGGACCCTTTTATGTCAAAATACGATTGGGGAACTACGAGTGAGAAGGGCATTAGTGGACACCGGTTCTTCTATCAATATCAGCCTTTTCTTGCATAACTTGGGAATAGAAAGGAGACTCGTGCCGATCTTGAGACAAACTCTGAAATATTTCAGACAGTGCCTGATGATCAAAGTCAAAAGGCTCGAGATAGGTTCGAAGCAAAAGATCTAGGTCATTCATTGGAATGAAGCAAAGCGGGTCTTCCCTACCAAAAAAAGGGTCTGGCGAAGGGCACAGAGCTATTGCTATCGATAACATATTCTAACACTTCTTCCTTTCACTAACGTGAGAGCATCAACAACCCATTTATAAGATACAAGCGAGATGAGCCCATCGAAAAAGGTGTAAATCGGGACAGCTGTATTCGTCCATTCCTCGTACGTTGGTCGAGCCATTTCATCCCTGGCACGAGCAGAGCTAGAGTATAAGAGGATCGACTAACAGGAGCGAAGTAGAGAAGATTACTATTGAAGAAAAAGGCTAGTTGTCCCTTAAGCTAGTACTTTTCTCGGGTACCGAGACAGGTGCGCAGCGGTTCCTCCGCTGACGAAAGAAAGCTCGACTAAGAAGGAGATTCATTCATTTTAGTATAGGGAAAGAGATGAGGGTTTGTACCAACCAAGAAGTCGTTACAGACCGGAGAAAAGCCCAAACTATTATAGTTCACTAAATCGAATCAGAAAGCGAACGAGTGTCAGACTTAAAAGTCCAAGTACGAGCTAGTTACATACCTGGAGCGATAGCTAGAGAGATTGAGGGTTGAAAGTAGAAGGGGTTGTTGAATCTTAAAAGCTTAAAAGAGAGAGTCTGGTTTGAAGAGGCTAAACTTTGAGTTGTTGAGGAAGGGTGCTAATCCTACCTTGATTGTTCTTCGCAGACCGGCCATGTGATCTCCTTTCCAGGTCTTATTGCCGAACTGGTTCTCCCATCTGATATTGTAATTACTGGTAGAGCCAAAAAATGGGCATGACCCGTTGATGGACAACTTTATCCTTCGCCGGTTGTTTCGAGAGCTAAGCTAATTCGCTTCTAGTTCTGTAGCTAGAGCTGGTATTTCATCCCTCGTCGAGGCATAAAAAATCAGGTCTCTCGAGCCTCATCTTTTAAGTAGGAATGCTAAAATAGAGAGTCCAAATCAGAATATGTGAAAGCTTGCCCGATTGAATAAAAAGTTTAACATCCTGAACGAATTGCTTTCCTTAAGCTAGCGCACCGCTCCGTGGGCTTGTCAGTTTTGAAATTAATGAGACAAGTCTAGTAGAAAGAGGACGTCTCTGTCCCTTCACAAACACCTACGGCTAGGCAGAAATCCCCGCTTTCATTGAGGGACGTTTTCACTTTATGGCCTCTTTATATAAGCAAATCAATCCATTCCCAACCCAAAACTCTACAGAGTCGGCTGGTCTCACTTTAGAGGAAAGTTTTGACTTCGAGGGAGCTCAGCCTTTGCTTTGATAAGAAGAATGAAATCTCAGGTTTTCCGCTTCTTTGGCTGACACCGGCCGATAGCCCATGATCTGAGACAGCCTCTTCTTCGTAATCAAGCCAGAGCAAGGGATAGATATGATTAGAGGAGGCGATCCTTAGGCATGGACGGACCGGTTATAGGTTTTCTCAACAAGGGAGAGAGATCGAAACCCTCTCTTCCGTAACGGGGCCAAAGCTCACAGTCCTAAGTGGTGAATCGCTCAACGGTTCTAACCTAACTAGGCATCCAAGTCGGCACTATAGAAAGAGATAGCTATGAGAAATTCAAATGATAAGACACATTCTCGTTTTTTTTTTGGCTTGCAATAAAGCTAGGGTCCTAATCGAGCTTTCATAGAAAGCCTATCTATCCACCTCTCCAAAGACAATATCTTGAGTACCTATGATGGTGACCACATCCGCTGGCATGTGATGTTTGGACATAGAATCGAGTCCTTGTGAGAAGTTTAATAGTTCTTGAACAACTACTTAGATCTTGATTGATAGTAACTAGGAGAAGAAAGACGAAGCAATACGGAAAGGAGAAGCCACTCGATGAGCACTTTATAGTATTTATTCTATATATAAGGCCTCGTCTCTGTACCCTGCCGTAGAGGATGGGCCTTCAAGCGTACAAAATTCTTGTTAAGAAAGATTGGATTAAGCTTAGTCGCTTCTCACGCACGGAGCTCGCCCTCTATTCGACGAGGAGTATCGGGTTTTGAAAGTTCTGCGACTCCTACCGCCGCTGCCATAGACCAAGGTTTTTACAAGTCCAGTGGTGAACCTAAAGGATGCCCGCGAGGGTATCAACCGGTCTCAAACGAACTTCTCAGAATGACCGCTAAAAAAAAACTATTATCTATCATATCAATCACATGTCTGAACCAGAGCTAGGGTTTCACCCAGGAGTGTTCACGAAAGACCAACCCAATCTCGACTTTAAGTGATTCGACCCGAATTAAAACCACATGAAACTTTCGATTTCTATGGCATTGAAAAAATGGAGAACCTTCTTCTGTTATATACCATCCCTAAGATACTCGATTCAGACTCTGCCTCAGAGAACTGTTTCTTAGGGAAAGGGTAAAAAAGAGGTACTTTCGCCCATGGTGAGATAGAAAGCTAGATGAGTGAAAACTGTTTCGATCTGAGACCCCAATCAGTAATTAAAACTGGTTCATAAGGTTTGCCACTAGGGGATAGAGCTAGACCTTTCTTGATTTGAGACCCAGATCATAGAGGACTTTTTGACAGAAGGCATAGCGCTAGTCCTCTTACGGATAGGTGGGACTAATACCGATATCATGGTCTTCTTCCTTCTCGATGCGCGGTAAAAAGTCTATTTTGAAATTCCTTTAATAGACGAGTTCAGATAGCCAGTGATTGTCCAGAGACTTCGACTGCTGCTTAACGCTTAGCGACTGAATCAGCCCAGGAAAAAACCTTTCTATACATATGGTGGTAGCATAGCTTTTTCAAGCAAAGGTAAGCTTGTTGACAAAATTACCTTGGGCAAAAAAGAGTTTTGAAAGTCAAGCTCAATACCAATACTCGCCCGACCCTTAGGCATTTACCAAACCGGAACTCGGCTTCTAAACGTACACCTTTCCCTCTCATTGTGGGCAGTCACTCATTCCCAAGCAAGGAAGGAAACAGGCTAATGGTATTCTGCCCAGTCACTTGCTTCTTCCTTCCAGTGAATCAGTTACCGCCTTGGGGCATCTCAAGTAATGGTTAGTTCCTTCCTTGACTTCACAGTCAAGATTGGCTGGGTTCTCTATCTTATCTATCTTTCTCTTTACAGAGCTAGACCAACAAAGACAGACCATTGTCTTAGACAAGACAACTTGTCAAACCGGAAGGCTGACTTCTAAAGCTTTCCCATCCAGTCCTGATAGCCCTAGATCTGTAGATCCAATCAACTGTTGGTCTCGCGAGACTGAGTGGATCTTTGTCCCAAAGCCAGGAACAGACTCGGCACTTCTAATCCAATATAGCTTTCTGATCCCCAAGCTCTGTTCAAGTTCCAGGTAAGCTGTACAGAATTGGCTGCTCATCTTTCTTTCCAGGCCAGTTCATTCCAAATTGGAAACTTGAAAGGAAACTCCCCACTCAGGCATGCATTTATAGCTGCCAGGCAGGATACCACAGTCCGGGCATTCAATCTGCTTCTTTCTTTCCGACATCTTGATTCAAAGAAATTCTTATCTACTATGTTATGTGATGTCCAATCGTTATTATATATAATGAGTGATAGCTGACAGGTCAATGGTCTCTTTCTCAGCTAGCTGCCATAATAGGAAGTCAAAGCCAGTTCAATCAGTACTAAAGAGAACGGGTTCAATTTATCCCAATCACGAGACCTGTTATGAGAGATGAAAGGCATGAAGTTCTCCTCCTTCTCACCCTTGATCTCTATCTTCAATTTTTGAAGGTTGAATCCTATTTATAGAAATTGAATTTCAATTATTTGTGGAAACATATCAATTAGTAGAACCAAAGAAAGAGATGCTGTATATGAATCACTCACATATTCTTCTGAATTATATGTATCCGCAGGATTAATTTGGAAAAACAGTAGGGAAGAACAAACAATTTTTATTGGAAACATTCCTCTACCCTGGGAACTTCTATAGTAAATGGAATATACAGAATTGTGATCAATCAAATATTGCAAAGCCCCGCTATCTATTACCGGTCAGAATTGGACCATAACGGAATTTCGGTCTATACCGGCACTATAATATCAGATTGGGGGGGAGAGTCGAATTAGAGATTGATAAAAAAGCAAGGATATGGGCTCGTGTGAGTAGGAAACAGAAAATATCTATTCTAGTTCTATCATCAGCTATGGGTTCGAATCTAAGAGAAATTCTAGAGA